ACATTTGTGAAATTTAGGATTTGTGACTAGTCTGAAATCATAAAAGTTTAGTGCTAATATGCAGGAAAACTAACTCTCTTATATTATTCCAATCATAAAGTGAAGGGGAGAGAGAGATCATTTAAAATGCACTTAATCATTTGTGTCTCTGATAACATGCAATTTCCAATTTGTTAGAGTCACTATTATTATTTGGTACAATTCCTACTACAAATTACAGACCATGAGAGTTTCATGTTGTTCACCAAAATAGCCACAACATTGTAATATTTATATCACATTAAAAGATAAAACTTATAACCAATGAACTGGATTAAATTATGTGCTCACAGAACATTTGCTCTTCCTCATTTTTTAAATAAATATAGGGTTTTTTTTTATTGATTTCAGAAAGGAAGGGAGAGGGAGAGAGAGAGAAAGAGAAACATCAATGATCAAAGAGAGTCGTTGATTGGCGGCCTCCTAATGAAGAGAGCGAATGTCCACTTAAAATTGGCAATACTGTGTTGTCCTTTTGGAGTCTTTTAAGAAGAGACTTTCCATCATAAAATAAATAAGGGAAGACTCACAAATTAATTACATGAAAGGGGTAGTGGCATTCTATTTAATATTTTTATTTGGCATTTCATATGAGAATGACAAAAAAACTGTTTAACTAATCTCACAAAATGATTGTTTATTTTGTAAACCATTCCAATTTCTATTAACAAATATATCTGTGCTTGCAATTAACAATCCCATCCTCTAAACTTACATACCCCATCATCACCATCAACTACCACAAGCTTATGTGAACAAATTGTTAAATATGTTAAATATGGCCTTTAAAAAAATGAATTGTGTGTAAGTGCTAATGATTTAGGAACAAAGGTGAAAACATTTATCACATTCCAAGCCAACAAGAACAATGAGTATGCTTGCATTAAATTTTGGATTCTTTTCCACAACGTTGCATAGCTGCCAGTTCCAGAGTACCCTGATGTACTTGATGTACTTTCTTTGGTGCATGTGGACAAAAGTGGAAGCCAGGGGGGTGACAACTGACAGAAGGAAGTTAAAGAAAGCATCCCAGAGGGCATAATGCTTGAACTTGGATGTGAAGGGAAAAGAGAAATTCACCAACTTAACTAGGAGAGGATGAGCATAATGGGTATGGGATGGCACACATGCAAAGGCAAGAAGCATGCGAGACTATTTCTGAGCACCCGGGATCTCTCCTCTTGTCCTCTGTAAGGTCACTATTTCTACTTGTGTCCTAAGTCACAGACTAAACTAAGTCACTAAAGAAACCTTCAGAGATGCTGTCTTTCTTCTATATCTTTGTCTACACTTCAATCTAGCTTCTTTCCCACAGGTTGGAGAATCAGCAAATAATTCTGCGTAGTGTAGAATGTCAAGAGATCAGGTTTGCAGTCAGGCAGGAGTGGATCATAATAAGCTTTAAATATCAATCAAAGGAGTTAAGACTTTATTCTGTAAGTGACAGGAGACATTTAGCCATGTAGAAAAATTATTTCGGTAGCAAAATCCAGAATGAATTATGAAGGAGAGAACTCTTAGAAGCATATGATTGTGAGTGAAGGAAGAAAGAATGGCCATTAAGGAAGATGAAGGGAGATAACAGGAGTAGACAAGTTTCAAGTTTATTAGAAAATTCAATCAGGAGTCTAGTTATCTACTTATCATCAAAATTTGCAAAAGGTTATCATCCCTTCTCTGATACCCCATATAATTTTATAGACTTTTAGTAAGAAAAAAATTTTATAGACTTTTAGTAAGACTTTTAATCTACCCGGTGTGGCTCTGATGGTTGAGCATCAACCTATGAACCAGGAAGTCACAGTTCAATTCCCAATCAGGGCACATGCCTGGGTTGTGGGCTCAATTCCCAGTAGGGGACATGCAAGAGGCAACTGATAGATGATTCTTTCTCATCATTGATGTTTCTCTCTTTCTCCCTCTCCCTTCCTCTCTGAAATCAATAAAAATATATTTTTAAAAGAAATTGCCATACTGCCAAATAGAAGTGATAAAGCTGACTGTAAATACAATCTTCCCTATAGTAAGCAAAAATAAATAAACAAAAAGATACACTTTTACACTATTTTAAAATAATTTGTACTCAATATACCACTTGAAATCTAGAGTGAATTATTTATACCAACAGGAGAATTACAAAGTAAGTTATGACTAAAATGTGATTTTTGCATAGGAGGTAAGACTTTGCAAGGGGATAGCTTAACAAAATGTAGCAATCACAAAACCAAATGATCTGCCCTTATTATCAATACCATAACCTTGACCATATGATTCTCAATTAATCCTTAATATAGGTAGAAAGCTTTGGTCTAAGTTCACCTTAACTTTCTACACTGAGCAAATTTCCTGAATGGGTTACAAACATATCCAGCCATTGCTTGTAATGGATATCTATTGTTTTGTCTGTCCAGCACCCTTCACCCATTTTTGCTGACCCACCCCCCCCTCCCCCATTTTTAACTTTGTCTATCCATATGATTACTACTCAGGATACCATGCTTGTTCAATGTTTGGTGGATGGCCCAACTAACACCCAGTTCCTAGATATCCTCTGTATCAATGACCTTTCTCTCCACTCTAGCACCCACTCTCTAAAGGTTCCCTAGTTGGAAATCACCACAAAGAATAGCTGTAATCCTGTTAGAACATGAAATTTAACCAACCCATCAGTCCTTTCCCTTTTCTTACTCTCATTTTACCTGTTCAATTTCATCCAAATCTTCAGGCTCTTGCCCACTCCTCCCAGACCATCATCTTCCCCACCTCCTTTCCATATCCAGCCAGACCCCCTAATAATCAAATCAATAATTCTTTTATTAGAACCCTCCATTTATGTTCCATCCTTTGTTTCCAATAACACAAGCCAGAACAGTCCCCACCCAGATGAATCACTCCCAACTTCTGTTCCAGGTGACGGAGCTCTCATAGAGAAACTTGCTCAACACTTCAGACTGGTGGCATTCAGAGTTATAGCAGATAACCTCATCATCTCTCAGTGATAATCTGTGATCCTTTCATTTGTCCCTACCCTGTTTGCTTCCACACTCCCTTGGATCACTATTCCAAACCTTGACCACTTTCTTAAATTCCTTGCATCATCCAACCTCTCCATCTCTATCTTTAGCTCTTCCTTCTTCATTGTGAAGTAGAAATCACCAGATGGCAGCACATTCACCCTCTCTACTCCTTCACTTCAAACATTCCCATTAGAGTACCAGCTTTTCCTTCATTTATGATTATTTCTGAGGAACAGGAGTCTCTCTTCCTGTCCTCTTAAGGCCACTATTTCTAGCTGTGTCCTAAGTCACAAACCAAAGAAACCTTCAGAGATGCTATCTTTCTTCTATATCCTCACCTGCACTTTAGTCTAGCTCCTTACCCTATAACAACAAGCAGATCCATCAATCTCACTCCTCAAATAAAATCACCATCAACAACAATAACAAAAATCTACCATTGGTCCTTCCATTTTTTAAAATATATTTTTATTGCTTTCAGAGAGGAAGGGAGAGGGAGAGAGAGATAGAAACATCAATGAGAATCATTGATTGGCTACCTCCTGCATGCCCCCCACTGGGAATTGAGCCTGCAACCAGGGCATGTGCCCTTGACCAGAATCGAACCTGGGACCCTTCAGTTCACAGACTGACACTCTATCCACTGAGCCAAACCAGTTAGGGTGGTCCTTCCATTTTTAGCTACTTCCCATTTCCTTCTTCCATTTCCTCATCAAACTCCTTAAAACTATGTACATATATAATAAATAGACAATATGTATATTTTATGTATTTATGTAATAGAACCAGATGGCAATAGTTTGAGGAGAACACAGAGATTGAAAGGAATAATATGTAATATTACATGTGAATATATATGTATGTACATATATAGTTTGTTCATTCATTATTTAAATCATTGCCATCTGTTTCTAACCAAACTGCTAGACTGAAAACACCCACAATAAGTCACCTATGATCTTATAAGTGCTAAATTCAAAGCTCTATGACCAAGTTCTCTTCTGAAGTGACCAAGCAGCATTTTAAAATTTATTGCCCATAGCACCTACCACCTCTTTACATATTAGAAATTTACTTGCTTAGTGACTTTCTCCTGTAGGATGTACATTTTTATGTAAGCAGATACCTTACCTTTTTGATTCACTATCTGGAATAGTGCCTGGCGTGCAATAAGTGATCAATGAATATTTGTGAGGTAAATATTGCCCACCCCCTGGCCAAAATGAATTAGGCCAGAGGAGGAAACCATACCCAAACTGGTCAACTTCAGCTGCTTCCCTGAATGTTTAAACTTGGGATCAAGAGAGTCTGTGTGAGTGTGAAATGATCTTCACTGTGAATGGAGAGAATAAAGCAGACTGATAGAGGAGACAAGATCAAGAACACCCTGACAGAATTCAAGCCCCTGGTTCCATTTATCCCAATTATCAAAGTAAATCCTATCCCTGGTCTCTGTGAAACATCCCAAAATCCTTACAGTAAGTTATCTTTTTATCTTGAGCTAATTTAGTCTCTTTTTCTGTTGCTTAGTACCAAGAGATTTCTTACTAATATACTGTTCTGTAGTTGAATAAGCTCAAAATAAACATCCTACAGCCAATTTTCATTTATTTACAACATCACATTTAAGTACTGCTTATGGGGAAAGGGTTATTTTCATCTATTCCCTAAACAAGATTACACAAACATTCATTTATTTTTTTTCTCTAAAGCCATTTTTTTAAATGAAGTCTGGTACTTCATGATCATTTCCCTTAGGCCATAGCAAACAAAATAAACCATTAAACAGAGAGTGGTTGAAGAACCTAGCTACAACAGTATATACCAAATTAAGGCTGGGGGGCGATCTGAAATGCATCTAAATTTTGCATTTAGAAACAACAAAGCTCTATTTTGGAGAATAGAAACTGAATAATTACAGCATTGTGGCTCATGGGTACTTACCAAACAAACGCTGGTGGAAGAGAAATTTGCCAGCTATTAGTCCTATGAGAATGGCGAGTAGCCATAGTAGCACCTTCAGAAGCCTCCAGCTAACTCCTTTGGGGTATTTATTTGTTACAAATGAAAAACAGTTCCCAACAACAATAACATTGGCTTCTGTTTGGCTATGAGAAACTGGGTCCTCCGCAAATATTAAGAAGTTAAAGAAGATCACCAAGTAAGCCACAATCAGGCGAGACCAGGGGTGCTGGAAATAATAACGGAAGTCTTTACCCATCCTTCAAAACTTGAATTCCGTCGTTTACCTGGATAAGAAAAGATACATAGAGTTAGAGCAGAAAAACAAACAGTCTCTCTTCCTGTTATATGTTCAAATTTATAATGGCTCAATAAAAAGTTCTTCAGAAAAGATGATACCTGTTCCTACTTACAGCACCAAGAGAAGTCTGAAATTGAATCATGTACATATTGTGCCCTCTCTGTCATCTAAGAATGCCTATGGCCATAGGTGGACTTGGAAAAGAAAAATAAAAGAATAGGGGGAGCTGAAACCGGTTTGGCTCAGTGGATAGAGCGTCGGCCTGCAGACTGAAAGGTCCCAGGTTCGATTCCGGTCAAGGGCATGTACCTGGGTTGCAGGCACATCCCCAGTGGGAGATGTGCAGGAAGCAGCTGATCGATGTTTCTCTCCCATCGATGTTTCTAACTATCTATCTCTCTCCCTTCCTCTCTGTAAAAAATCATAAAATATATTTTTTTAAAAATCTTTAAAAAAAAAAGAATAGGGGGAGAGGAAGGGATAAGAGAGGACAGAACACTGTTTAAAATTAGGATAATGACTGAGATGACATGTGGCAGTCACCTCAGGGGGAATCACAGAGCAAGATAACATAATGCAATACTTTTCCTCTCTTAAATTATTTTTGTTACTGTTATAATCCAGATTTGCTTAAAAATTAAAGCAATGTAGCAGTTAACTGAGCACATATTCTTCTAGCCAAATCCCTCTCTCCAGAGTGAAGACCCCTGATAATTTGGTGGGTATGCTTTCAGATCTTTTTTTAAACATTGACGAATATACATATGTCTATGGACTTTCATAAACAGTGTTCGCAGCCTAGTTGTCAATTTCAACACAGTAAGTTTTGTGAAATAACTGAGTCTATGGTAGAATCAGGAGGGATTGGGCAATTCCTATTGTAGGAAGGAAGTGGGGAGAAAAGAAGATTTCACAGAGGAGTAGATACCCAAGTTCAAGATTGAAAAGATAGCGTAATTTCTTTCCCCAAGTGACGAAGGCAAGGGTGCTCAATCTAGGCATATTCAAAGGTGTAGAGGCCATGCAAAACAGCTAACATGCCTACAGTGGTGGTCCTAACCTGGATGTGCATTGGAAGTGGAGAAGCTTTCTTAAAATTCTGATGTCAGCCCAGCCAGTGTGGCTCAGTGGTTGAGTGTCGACACATGAACCGGAGGTCATGGTTCAATTCCTGGTCAGGGCACATACCCGGGTGTGGGCTCAATCCCCACTAGGGGGCATGCAAGAGGCAGTTGATGGATGAATGATTCTCTCTCATTGATGTTTCTATCTCTCTCTCACTCTCCCTTCTTCCCTCTCTAAAATCAATTAAAAAAATATCTAAAATTCTGATTTCCAGACCCTACCTCAAAAGTTGTGCTTAGCTCCTCTCTCTTTCCTTTTGGGAGCCAGCCTGCACAGAAAAACAAAACACAAACAAAAACCAAAAACCATATTAAGCCTTCCTAGGTCTACCAGGACTGTGGCTGGGTGATTTTGCCTAATTCTGGGGTTCAGTTTTGGTAAGCCTATCCAGTGCTCAGACTAAGCTATATCTCCCCTTTTCCCCAATAATAAAGCTGATTAAACCCAGGATAAAAACAATAATAATAAAGGCAAGATTGTACCACAATCTGCCAATTCTTTTTCTTCCTTTTCAATGTATCTAGAACTGAGAGAGAAAAGAGGGACTCTTACAAAGCCTGCAGTATGTGACATCCCGCCTCTGTGTTGGATGTCTGCATGCATTGTTATTTCATTTTCCTCCTAACAACCCTCTGAAATAGGCATCACTTCGTGTACAGGCAGGGAACTGAAGCTCACACAGATTATGTAACTTCCAGAAGTCATCCAGCAGGAGTGCTCTGATTTGAGCCTCTGGAGTCTGACCCCAAGTCCTGGTCTCCAGCCCCTGCCGGCAGCCAGATCAGCCCCAGGCGTCTTCCCGGCCTAGGGCCCAGCCCCAGGGATGTCATCCTCTGAATGCCTTCTGGAGATATATTCTTCTCTAGAGATGATTCTATTAACTCTGTCATATAATACATTCTTCTCTAGCACAGGGAAACATTATATACGTATATGGCTAAAAGTACAAAGATCAGGCTACATGCCTGAAGTAACTAAGTCAATCGAAGACCTAAGAATAGGCTCCAAGGCTCCCAAATCCAAATCCAATATTCTAGGCTGATGAATGCCAATTAAACCCACAATTTCAGTTAATGAAGACTTAAGTATTTTAGAATAGCAACGTAAACACAAAAGGAATGACTATAAAATTCAGCAAAACAGTCACTGTGCCTTGGCTTCATCAACCTTCTAAGCCATTTCAAGTCTCTTGTGATCTGTGTGTCTTCTCTGAAATATCTGTCCCAGGGGGTGCAGCTCAGACACTTAGGAATGGTGACAATCACAAGTTTCTTTCTATTTTTTAATGTAAAGTTCATCACCCACTACAGCAGCAGAGACCTTCATGGTTCTCACACTGAAAAGAGCAGAGAAGGCAACAAAGAACAAAAATGATCACTAGGTCATGTGTTTTCCTGGCATTCAATAGGTAAGGATGACAAATGGGTCAACGTCAACCCGATTGCATGCAACATCTCTGGAAATGTCCAGAGGCCACCATTACAAAAAATACACCGATATCATCTCAAAGCAAATGAGTCTTGAAGCAGAAGTGATGCCGACCTGCCATCAGAACTGGATAAGGGTATCATTTAAGAGGTTTCTCTGTGGCTTCTCTAACCAATGAGAAATTCTGTTGTAGTTGCACCAACCCCTCCCCTGCTCCCTCTACCTACACTCAATCAAGGCAGCAGAATTTAGAATACTGAATACATGTGACTTTGATTCTTTTTAAATAAGTGCTTGGTGGAGTGTTGGCATATAATTATTTTACAGTTGCTTTTAACTTCAGAATCTTGCTTTGTGGGCTATATTGTAATGTCTATATGTCTAAGTTGAATTAGAACATTTAAAAAAAATGTTGGAGATAGCTATTCCTCTCCAGTAATCATATTGTTTCAAGAGAGAGAACTATAGAATTAAGTAACAGACCTGCACTAGAAAGAGATTTTAATTCCTACCGGGATGCTATGAATGCTACTATCATGCCCTTGTTACAGGTAAGAAAACAAAGGCTCAGATATCCAGGAAGTGGAAGAGCCAGCGTATGAATCCAAATCCATTCCTAGCCCTTGCTTTTTCTGATATACCTCGAAGCTGGAAGTGCTTCTCCCAATAAAATATTTCTCATCACATTTACAGCTTATTCTTAATTTCCACTAACAGATTTAGTGACTTAAATACTAGCCAAAGGAACAGGGCTCTGTTATTGATCTTTTAGTCTTTTTATTTTATGCTAAGAATGGCTGATATTTATTCGTGCCTCATACTCCAAAGCTGAAGTGATGTCTTCTACAGGGTCCCCAATTTCAAAATCTGCCTACCTTGAATAAAACCGCTCTGATCCCCACTTCCTGATTTTATACACAAGGTTGCCACAAGTTTGCCTCATCATCTCAGCCCTGTTTTCTAGTTCCTCGGGCATCTGATATCCAGAGACCAAAACTCTTTTCTATAGCTCACATAAAGCATCTTTATGATCAACAGGATCACTGGTGACTCTAACATTAATAATCTAAGATTAAGGCTGCTCAACTAGACAGTACAAACCCTTTGCATTTGTTTAAATCCAATTCTGCACCCATGGATGAGTTTTTATCTTAGTTAAGTTTGCTTTGATCTTGGCTCTTATCAAATCATAGTGAAATGATCTGTTTATGTGTTTGTCTCCCTTCATGGATCATAAAGTCCTGGGGCAGGGGGTGGGGGGCTGTTTACTTCCAGGACACAGCTCAGTGCCAAACTCATAGTGGACTATCAATAAACACCTGCTGGAGGAGCTGAGTGGTATCCTCCAAAGGATAAGCCCCCTCATGGTTCAGGAGAGATGAGAAGAAGGCAGATCAACCTGACATTGGCTAACGTTATGGAAAGAGAAGAGCAGAGGAGCCCAAAGACTGCAACAATGACTCGTCCAGTAACAGCAGTGATGTGTCCCCACCCAACACCATCTCATTTTAACACCAGGCTCTGCATTATTATCACTGTTACTAAGGCTGACATTTAGTGAGTACTTACCATGTACCGGGCACTATGCCGATGAGCTTTACAAACATCTCATTTAAATTTCATAGCAGCCCATTGAAGAAAATACTCTTATTTTACAAATGTTAAAACCAAAACTTAAGAGTTTAGTATCTTGTACCAAATAACAAAGGGAATCTCTGCCAGAGTCGGAATTCAAATCCATGCCACCTGGCTTCGACACTATGCTATGCCTTCTCCACACCAAAAATAAATTCCAAAATCTTGCCCTTTACATGTTGGCTAAAATGTGCCTGGTAATAAAACCACCTGATATAAGATTCACGGTACTTCTAGGATAAATGAGCCTACTATTACTCTTCAAAATGATGTGGTAGCACGACTGGAAAGAATGGGAACCATATGACTGCCTACAGAATTGCTCAGATTTTTGTTCTTTTTTGAGCATCTGTATAAGTAGTTGAGCTGATCTGATTGTTCTTTGGTCATGCATCACTGCTGTTCACTCTGTGATTTTCCAAGGATGCTTATAGAAAACACTGCATCTCTCAGATCTCCACCATTTAATTCCCTTTTATAAGTAATGACATCATGAGGTACAGGACACTATCATTTCTTGGTAGCCTCTGCTTTCTCACATTATAACATTGATGAAGATATAGGTAGCTACAGGCTCAAACTTTAATATACTATCTGATAATCCAAAGGCCTTCAGTCATGGGTTCCAACTCTGGCGGCTCTAATATTTATATTTGATCTTAGAAATGCCACACATTTTACTACAAGCCAGTAGTTCACCTGGTATTAAAGGCTAAGAATGGAGAGGAATTCAAAGAAAAATGGGAAAGTGGTGAGGACACTCAGGCTGGGAAGATACTTTGAGCAAAGGCATAGGAG